GATCCCAAACACTCACATTATTTTTGCGTTTCATTATTTTGATGTAGTTTAATCAAATTTAACATACTAAAAAATATGCACTATCTTACCATAAGGTTCTTCATTTCTTTTATTTTTATTTTATTTTATTTTATTTTTTTCTTTGGTCGTAAACGTATAATAATGCTCAGCAGCTAGGGTACTTCACGAATGAATATGTTCCACCTGACAGTTTCCCTATAAATTAGGATCACCACCACCCCCCAAAAACACACCTCTTCTGATTCCAAGTTCCAACCAATTAATTACAGAGAACATTAAACATGGAATCTCACTCATGTCGTAGTCTTCTCGCACTGCAATATCTTCTCTCTCTTCTTCTCCTATTCATCTCCATCAACATAATATTCAACATTCACACAACTTCCGCTACTTCTTATAACTCATCCACAGTTTACAAACTCTACGTCAAAAATTCATGCAATTCCACCTTATATCCACAAAAGTGCTACGAGTCCCTCTCCTCCTACTCTACCAAGATCAAATCAGACCCCAAAAGGCTCTGCAGATACGCCATTTACGTCGCCTACATCGACGCGAAAACCGCTTCTTCGACGGCCGTAAAAATATCCAAGACAAAAGGTTTGAAGGCCACAGAGAAAGAGGTTATCACGGATTGCGTAGAAAACATCAAAGACTCCGTCACAGAGCTCAAAAATTCATGGCGCGCCATGGACAACCTTATCAGCGGAAATGGTACGTTGTCGGAGGACGAGAAATATCAGACGGTGGAGAATGTTAAGTCGTGGGTCAGCGCCGCTTCGACGGATGATTACACGTGTACGGATGAGATCGAGGAGGAGAAGGTCAACCCTACGATGAAAAGCAAGCTCAATAAGGCTTGTCTGAAACTGTCCAAATCCACCAGTATTGCTCTGGCTTTCACCAACAGTTACTAGTTCAGTTAAATATAATCCTGAAGTCCAAAGTTTGATTTTTTTTTTTTTCCTTTCCTTTCCTTTCTTTTCTTTTCTTTCGTTTTCTTGTCCTTTGTAATTCCGATTTGTTTTTTCGGTAAGTTTACTTCATTAAGACTAGTTCATATATGTATATACAGGTTCTTTCTCTCAAGTTCCTTTGTATATGTCATTATAATAAAGTTTTAAGGAAAATAGTTTAAAAAAATGTCTAAAAGGATGGTGCTTGTCGTATAGTACTTATTTCAATTTCTTACCTGATTGAACAAACTATGAGATCATGAATTTTCCTAGTTTCGACAAATT